TTTTATCATCCCTTGCACGCGGTTTTCCCCCTCGGTGCTCGCATTCCCGCGCATCTTTCCCTACGGCGAATCCTGTTGATCGAATCTCTGTTAGCTTGTTGCCACGGGATTTGCCGCGCATCTAAGTGATGACGAGCGATCTGCGTATATCTATTAATCGTAACCTCTCTCGCCGCACGAGTCACAACGACTCACAACTACCATGTAACGACATTCATTCTAAATCGCCACTCGCTCTCTCGGACGTTATGCAACGATGTGCACTGCCGCACTGCCGACACAACTAACACAATTCCCGTAGCGGAAGAAGAGGAGACACGACACGACATTATGCTACGCGTCGCGTCGTCTCCGCCTTCGGTCGATTTAAATGTGGCGGTAGGTCAACGTCCCCCGTCGGATAGAATCATGAGCGAGCGAGAGTTTATCTTAGGGGACGAGCGACCACTCGAGATAGTCGCAGGAGGGCGTTGGAGTTGCGAGAGGATTTGAAGCTGAAAAATATCAGCGTGGTGCACCGGGGGCGGAAGCTCTCGCGACAAGAACCGCGTATGTATATTGACCCGAACGCACTTTAGACGCACTCCACGAGGGGACTAAACACATACATACACACACACACACACACACGCACGTGAACGCACGAGTAGCCCCCCCTCCCCCCTCCCCCGCCTCACTGTAATTCGGTCGCTGTAACGAAACGTAAAATTATTCGACTCGCACAGTTGTGTGTCTCGCATTGTATTCGAGATAGCGAGAATACTTTGGCTGCGTCATAAACAGGCTTTGTACACGCTAATACAAATTTGTAGTATCTCATGAATCACATAGTTGTTGGAAAATATATTTATCGATATAAATATATCAATTGACCGTCCTTCTAACGGCTGTACCTCGACGGAGGAACATCCACGGAATCGTCGACTCCGATTCGTTCGAATGCAATATCCGCGTTGCACCCGCGAATATTCCGGAGTTAATGACGACTGCGCCGAGCTGCGAAATAATTCAACAGAATGAACGCGAGCTCTATCTGTGCCGGTGCTGTAATTTCCCGTATTTACTGATATACGACATTTATCAATGCCCATCTCGTCGCGATACTCTCTCTCTCTCTCTCTCTCTCCCTCTCGCCGTTTGAAAGCATTTCGGCCTTTTAAAAGAATCGAGAAAGAAATTGGGCGCGCTGTATGAAAGAGTTCGATGAGAAGAGAAGAGAAAGAGATGAAAAAGTTAGACGGCCGATAAAGAGGACAATGTTTTCCGGGTCGAAACGACATTCGATCGTTCGATTAGACGACAAACTCGACGTTGACGGCCTGACCGTGGTGCATTCCGATGAACGGCGAGATGACACGGAAGGTGGCCGACGAGAGAACGTTGTTGAACCTCTTGCGCGTCCTCCTTTCAGCGATTCTACACTACTTATTGATTAATGTAAATTTATCGCGAGAATACGTAGAGAAATTGAGATGCCGGGCACACGAGTGTTACCGCGGGGAGAGCGGGGAGCGTGTTACGCACTCTACGCGGAGGCACTTTGCTTTACGAACGTCCTCGACGCCTCCTCGCAAAGTGGACAAGTGGAAGCACAGCCAGAAACGATCAGAGTGCGCGGTGTGAGTTCGCCTTGTGAAAGAGCGTCTTATGCATGCATGTATCGAAATGATAAATTGTGCAAATTGCAAACGCGAAACAATTAAGTCGTTTTAAGAGACTTTTGAACGAGAAGAATATTTTTTAAACGAGTACGAGTTACGACGAGTGAAGCGAATATTATCTTTCCTTTTTTCTTGCGCGAAAATCTGATCATCTGATCAGGCACTTGAGGGATTTCTCTCTGGTAATGTGAAACTCACAAAAATTGAGCAATTTCGATAAGACGTATGTAATAACAGTAGGCACGCCCGAGTTTAATTACGGATATGACCAGAAGTGTCTCCTCCTGTGTTCTCGGCAAGTCAAGTCGCTCGACTCGCAGGAAGCGTCGATCGACGCGCGGACAATGCGCAGCTGTCTGCGATAATTGCGACATGAACTCGTCACTCGTGACGAAGGAGAAGAACTCCACCCACGAGAGAGCGGAGAATCGCGCCGCGCCGCGCCATGGTAGTCGGAAATTATATTATTATAATTGCGTTCTTCGCGCTATTTTCTCATGAAGCTTTCAAGCGACCTGCTTGAAGGGATAGTCGTCGCTCGCGCGCGCGATTCCGCCGTAAAATAGGCAAAAGAGAGCCGTTGAGATTTAGCCGCTCAAAAATAATTAATCCTTTTGCGTGCGACGTATCGATACATCGAAATGCATTCTGCTGCTGCGTATCGTCGTGAGACCGCGGTTGCTTTCCTTACTTAGCGTTTATTCGGACTTTATCATCGTCGTCGCATGATCGAACGCTCTAACGATGTAATCTCGAAGAGATAAGACGCGGAGAAAGAGATACGACTCAAACCTAACCATTTATAGATAGATTCGGAGTGACGCATAGGGCAGCTTTGAGGAGTTGAGGTTCATCCATCGTGGATAAAAAAAGAGCCGTGCCTGCTGCTCATTTGTACGCTGCTCTGCGACATTCGTCGTGCGCAGAGAAAATTCGGATCCTTTGATGAACACTTTAATATACACCTAACCGTGCATACGGTACGGTGCACGGCACAAAGTGGATAAACAACAAGGTGGATTTTTGCATTGTATTATTAATAGTCCTATAGTATTTTTAAGCCAACGGCCATCTACGTCACAGTTGAGTATCGTAGTGAAATATTTTTAGTTTGATCGATAGCTTCTACGCGAGGAGAAGGCAAGTCTTATAGGGGCCATATAATTTGCATAGGTCGCAATATCGCGCGCACGATAGTCCCCATTAGCATAAACGCTAAATTCATAGTCGAATGAAGAAATCGGTGCCGATCGCGAACGCGAGCGATTGATCGCGTTCTGCTTCCTCGTCGGAGAGGACGATCGATGTTGTCCGAGAGAGACCGAGAGAGACCGAGAGAGACCGAGAGAGAGAGAGAGAGAGAGAGAGAGAGAGAGAGAGAGAGAGAGAGAGAGAGAGAGAGAGAGAGAGAGAGAGAGGGAGAGAGAGAGAGAGAGAGGGGGGGAGGGAGGGGGGAGGGAGGGAGGGAGAGAGAGAGAGGGAGGGAGGGAGGGAGGGGGAGAGAGAGAGAGAGAGAGAGAGAGAGAGAGACAGAGACAGAGAGACAGAGAGACAGAGAGACAGAGAGACAGAGAGATAGAAGAGATAGAAGGCAGAAAATAGAAGGGCAATGCGAGCCAAGAAAATTTGGGCGAGACGATCGACTCGAGAGGATTTATTTAGATTGGAGCAGAAATTTGGCACTTCTGAATTCACTCAGCTGAATTCACGCCTACTTTTTCGCTTGTTCTACACTCACGTAAACATACGGGCACGCGAAGCTTACCCTCCCTCTTATGCACACAGGATGCGGCAGGCGCTTGCCGCGCGGCGGAAGTTGGCTAGGGAATACCATGATATCCAATCAACGTTCCACATATACCGCATATTTTGTAACTATTATTTCCGAGCGAGCAAGATGTTGAATGCGGTACGGACGCGATATTCCCCAATCAATTTCCGCCGTGCGCGCGCGGCAAGCGTTATCGCATCCTCTATGTGCAAGAGCCCTTAGGCCCGAGTGGCAGATCAAAGTTCAATATTTCTCGCTTGATTTAACACCGTTGCCAAAAAGTCTCATCATCGTACTACCAGGCTAGGCGGCACGCGAAACTTGGAATCGTGCAAACCTGCAACGAGTTTGGCGCCGCGAAATGTCCTCTTAATTCCCAGCGTGACGTATTACTCCTAATACGCCCCCAGCTGACTCTCATTACCGATCATTGCTCGTATTCTCGTGGGACACTGACCACTCTTCCCGCAGGACCGGTCGTCAAAGGCGGGCTCTCTTCTCGCGGCGCGTGCGGCTCGTGGGTCCTTAACTCCGCGGCCTCTCGAGGGAAACGAAGTCCTTTGACAAGTTGCGAACAATTATTCGCGTTCTTTAATTGGATCGTGGTTTCATCTCGGAAACAGATTTCGGTTTAGAAACGTTACGGCGTCAAGACGGTCAGAGAGGTGTCAATACGAAAATCCTGGATGGAACAACAGTTGCTGTACTAAGTTTCTCGATCTTAGTTTTATGAAATATTGGACTCATGAAATATTGGAGATCACTTTTGTATTATAAAATCCTACCGAGAGACGTTCGTTGACTCTCTCGCTGTTCGTTAAAACGAGCGTAATTGTGCCGAAAGCTCGCGCAAAAATATGTAATGTATCTTTTTACAATATAATTTTTCACATATAACGAATGCGCACATAAAGAGAGAGAGAGAGAGAGAATAATTTTTAGATTTGCGTATGTACTTGCCGTCTAAAATCAAGCGGGCATCGATCGTGCGCCAATGTCATATTCATATATGTATCGACGTTCATTATCACTTTATCACTTCAATCATTTATCACTGTTCAATCATCAGCAGTTAATTGCCTCGTGCCGTTGCTGCGTCTTAATTACCCAATTATCGCGATAGTAAGATGTACAACCGCGGAAGTGATACATTAATTATAAACCGTCCAACCAGGCAGAAGAGTGAGAGAGAGAGAGGGGGGGGGAAGAGGGGCCGTGTAATAATCGTGTTACCGGCGAACTATATGCTCGTGGATCGTGTCAACTATATGGTAAATGAAAGTTCTACCAGGTGATGATTCTTTTTCACTAACATGGACACACACACACACACACACACACACACACACACACGTACAATGTAACACCTTTACCACTTGCTTGCTACGATACGCTTTCTGCGATATTCGTCAGGCACGTACCCAAGTCTTTCCCGTTTTCGTACGGTCTGCGACAAAAATATCGGAGAACTTTCCGAAAAACTGTCTCTTTCTTTTTCAATCTTACGAATTGTATCTTACGAATTTGATAGCACTTTTGTATAACGCTCGATCGAAGAATCAACTCAC